AAAAAAAAAATATTATAATTATCGAAGTTTAGCTACCTACGAAAATTTAATACGTTTTGACAACTAAAATAATTACATAGGAACCTAGGACAAACGTCAAACAGCATGCTTGATTGAAAAATTGTAGGTTTCTATTGATTAAAAATCTGTATCGTAATGAAAAATCTGTATCATAATGGGTATCATTATGAAACGGATTATGGGCATATAAGTGCATTATTATAATACGGGTGTAGAAAAAAGCATTTTCATTAGTATTTTTTTGTAGGTTTTTTTTTATGGATGGATGGCATTATATATGCAAGTCTATTTACCACAGAAAGTTTAAATTTAATAATTTTCATATATAAGACGATTTTAACTCAGTTACTAGAAATGTGACCAAGTCAAGTGTGGTCAAGGTTCTTACGCCATTCTATTAATCTGTATTGGGATTCTCATCTTTCAATTTGGCAAGTGTTGAAACGACTATCTTCGTTCCACAGAATGCGATGTCTCTCTATTCAATTCGTTAGGTGTTGAGTACACACATAAGAATATAGGCAGAGGAATTTTTTTAGATCTCCACAAAGAAAGGAGCTTATTTTATAAAATACCTGTTTTTTTACCTGTTCCCCTGTCGTCATATATGTCCTACTTTTTCCTTTCTTAAATCTGGCAACCCCTTAGCTCAGCCTTTCTTTCAGTTTTACAAATAACATAACCAAACAATATTTTAATAATTAAAAGGTAAAAGTTTTACATTTGTCATTTCATTTGACATTTCATACTCGTGATGACCACGTTTTTACTGTAGTCATGTTAAACTTGACCATTTCAAGACAATATTCAATATGACGTTATTATTTTTTATTTATATCAGTTTAGTCTTTCATATTCAAGATATAGTCTTTGATTTAAAATCGCCTATTATGTTAAATATCTATTTTAATATTTCGAGTAAATTTAATAGAAGCGTCAAAAATTATCTTATCTAATTGAACTAAAAATGAAGAAATATTGAGTGGAAGAAAAAAAATGTATTTAACTCTTGATATATTACAGTGGTGTGTCCAGTATTTTTATTACATTCTAGAAATAAATGACTGATATCTGCTACAGCGTGTACATTGTAATGTGGGCAAAAGGCTACAGCGTTTACATTGCAATAGGGGCAAAAGAGAGAGTCCAATATTCCAATGTTATATAAATGTGCAGAAAATCGGCCGTGGTTGAGCTTTAAACAAGTAATTATGGATGAGGGGTATTTATTATAGTTCCATAGACTGATGTGAGGAATATTGAAGGCGGAGCTCCACCAAACTGGGCTAGCCCCGGCGGCACTTGCGGCTTTGCCGCCGGCACAAAATGCTGCGGCTTTCAGCGACATTGCCGCGAAATTAAATTCGACTCCACCAAACTGGGCAGTGGGCATTTTAAGTGTCGGCTTACCCGGGTTTAGACAGTTGGTTGTTCTTCATCTGAGAATGTTTTTTGACGACGACAAAACTTTCTTAGAGTATATGGATCTTGAATATGTTCTGATGTTTTAAAGGCTAGGTTTTCTGACGTCTGGTTCGAGTTAGATTAATTTAAAGAAGGTCCTGATGGAATTAATGTTGTTTGAGGGCTTGTATTATTATTAGGATTATACAAATTACTTTTATTTCGGAATAATTGAATAATTCTATCAATAAGAAGATCTTTTTTTTAGTTCATTCGGTAAAAATATCATCATCGTCTTGAATATTTTCCGTATTCGTGTCTTGGCTATCCATTTTAAAGTCTCTTAAATATCCACTGTATGTTACTGCGTATACAAACCTCGCCTAACTTACCAATCCATACAAACCTCAAGACTGACTTAAAAAACACGTGCTTGCTCGCATAGCCCGCAGAAATTCCTTTCACCTTTACAGACATTTGGCCGCTAGCAAAATTGTACCGGGGTCTCCTGCCGGCGGCTCCTGCCGGCGGCACTGAAGAATATTTTTATTTCAATTTTTCTTCGCCAAAAGCCGGCGGGCTATGCCGGCGGCATGTGCCGCCGCTCTAGCCCAATTTGGTGGAGTCCCGCCATTAGTATGATTTGGATGTATACTATAATAGTGACTTTGTGATGCCTTCGCATACTCAGTGGATTTAATTTCCCATCTTTTTTATATATGTTTATAATATCTATAAAACTACAAAATGATGTGTTCTTAACTACATAATTCTTTAGCAGCCCGATCCACATGTTCATTTCCTGCAATGCCACAATGTCCTTTAAACCACACCAGGAGACTTTAACGCTACACTGTTTAAGATCAAATATAATTTTTATAATGGACAATATTAGCGCGTTTTTGTTTTGACTTATGGAAGGGCTATCAATAGCCTGCAGAACTGATTGGGAGTCAAACACTATAACTATATTCTAAAATGAATTTGCTTTGCACCAATCTAAGGCTTTTAGAATCGCCACTGCTTCAGCTGTGAATATAGAACAGAAGCAAGGAAATTTAAATGATTCTATATAATTAGTGTTTGAAACAAGAAATCATTTTTTGAACGAATATAAAATTTATAAAATGTGATATTGATTTTTGGGTCTTCATCCAATTTTTTTAGATAATAATAATAATAATAATACTCTCCCTAATTCACCCCCTTACGAGTGAATTTCAACCCCTGAAGTCGACTTAACGACTTGTGTAGGGGAAGGGACGGCTATTATTATTATTTGCCGTGGCGCTCCGGGGCGACTTAAAGATGATTGATGGTGCCATTTGACTTACAGGTGAGGAAAACCCGGAAAACCTCACCCACCATCATAAAAGATAAAACACGTAGTAGATTAAGTCCCTTATCACACTTTTGCTTTATCTGTTTATATTGGTCTACATCATTTTTTTATCTATTACTAAACCATAGTATTTGTATTCACTAATCATGAGTATAGTCAAGTCACCTAATAAGCAGTATTCAGCGGTTCTGAGTGTGTGTCACGAAAGGCACGTGATAGATGATTTCTTTTGTGAAACACTAAAACCCATGTCAATAATCCACTCTTTCAAACAATAAAATACATATTTTAAGTCTCTCTTACAACGTTCATATGAATTTTGAATGGTATAAATGCATGTTATCTGCATATTGGATGATTTTAATGGTATCATCCATAAAATGATGTAATTCTGCTATATACATATGTTAAACAGAAGTGGGCTTAATACAGCTCCTTTTTGTAGACCATTATATACGGTTCTCGGACCATGTAGTACATTTTTATGATCTCGGACAAAAAACTTTTTGTTTATAAATAAGTTAATTATGTGTTGATGCCAATTTTATTCATCTTAGATTGTAAAATACCTAGATCAACCACGTCATAGGCGCCTGTTTAATCTAAGAATAAACAAAACATATACTTATATTTGGAGAAACAAATTTGAGCGTCAGTAATTAAGTGTGTACAAAATTTTATACGTGAATCAATCCTGGAGCAGTATTTATGCTCTTTTTTAAAGCTGAGTTTAGTTCTTTATAAGTAAATGGAAAAGGATCAGAACATTATAACCACTAAAAAGGTTACTAGGAACAGATAAGGGAACTAGTTTATCCAGAATATTTTCAATTAGTTGTTTGCCTAAAGGGGGCTTATTTTCCTGGTGATATTTATTAGTGAAAGATCTAATAAGGTGCCAGATTTTAGATATAGTAGTACTCTTATTTAATGTGTTTAGAAAAGACCTCCAACTAATTCTTTGTTTTGATTTGAACAACTGTTTAGTTCTAGAAGAAATATTTTGATAGTGTAAGTAGTGTAGTGTAGTGTAGGTAGTTATTCTGCACGATTTTTAACCATAGACAAACATTCCCTGTCCCACCAATAGGGCCTGGGATATAAAGAGGTAAAAGGTTTTTCAGTAGGCATCTTTATCTTTATCTTTGTCGGTTGTAAGCAGGTAGAGTTTGGTTTGGGCCAAAACACTGTGGCCTCTTGGGTCTATTGTATTCCCCTGCTTTCCTCGTATTCAGGTGCTATTTTTGGAATAGTCCTGTGTCTTTAGTTAGTTTTAATAAGTTCCCTACCAAGTGTTCCTGGGGCATTCTTTCCGATTCTAGGCCAAAAAGGATGAATTGTCGCCTAGTAAGAGCTTCACATTTGAAAATCACATGGTATGAGGTTTCTTCCTCTTCCATGCAGAGTCTACACGTAGTGGGATCATTGTGTAACCCCATCACATGAAGGTGTTTCAGCAAGTAGTGCCCCGTTAGTAATCCCACAATGGTGAATATCTGAGGCCATACGAGTTGTAGTGTCTCAGTAGTCATGCGTGGGTTTGGTACCCTAAGCATGAGCCTATTGATTCTATACCCTTTTATCTGTTGCCAATGAATTTGGTGTTCTGTGGTTATCCACCTGTTCACTGTCTGTTGAGCAGAGGTTTTGCTTATCCCAAATACAGGTTCGGGTCCTGTAAATGGTAGATCTGATCTCTCATGTTGTGTGTTGCCAGATCATTTAGTATTCCAAGGCAGTTCCAGACAAGCTTTGACTTGATTCTGTTTGAATCAAGAGCCTTTATAGAATTAGGATGGTTTGTTTTCTGTACTTCCTTCTAAAGTTCTCTCGTACACACAATTCGATTGCATGTATTTCAGCTTGAAATACAGTGTTATGTTTTCCCAGTGAGACGATGATGTCGCATTTGGGTTTAACTCCATGTATACCAGAGCCTGTTCCCTTGTTTGTTTTAGATCCATCCGTATACCATACGAGACCTCAAAGCAAATATTTATTTATTTCCTTATTTACTTCGTTCCAGTTACAGCTGACCGGGAAGAGTCTGTTGAAGGTTAGGAGGGATGTCATGTGATCTGATCCCATGTTTAATATAGAATCATTTACTTCATGTGTTATTCTAGTATGTTTTATATGTCCCAGTGGATTCCAGTTGTTGGAGATTTCCCGTCTGTATGCACTCCCCTTTATGACTAGGTTAAGGTATGGGAGGTTTAGAATGATTTCCATAGAGGCTGTCGGTGTACTTCTCAGTGCTCCTGTATTACAAAGGCATGCCAGCCTCTGATCTCCTGAGAGGGTATTGACGGCTGTTTTCTGGTTTACTTTTGGCCACCAAATAACCGCTCCATAAGTTATCATGGGTCTTGTTATTGCCAAATATAGCCAGTTTTTTTAATCCCCATGTTTTTTTAAATGCCCGTCTCCCTACAATGAGAGACATTTTACATTTGTTGGTCACTTTTTGTTAGTGTTGGTTCCAAGTAAGTTTGCTATCTAGGATTAGACCCAGATATTTTACTTAGTTTGTTTTATTTAGCCTTCCTCCAGAGTCGGAATTTCTAAGACCTCCGACTTTGTTTTCCGAGTAAAGGTTTACCAAAAGGTTTTCCCTAACGCACCACATTTCTGTTAGCCTAAGAGCTCTTTGCGTGAGTTCGAAGACTGTGGTTTGGTGTTTCCCTCGTATAAGGATGACTATCCTTGGGCGCACAGCCCTTGATTCTTCAGTGTTTTCAGCAGTTCATCTGCCACTAGTTTCCACAGTACAGGAGCATCCACTGTGGATACTCATCTGCATGGTTTCACTGAACATTTGTGCCTGTACTTGCCGTCCGCGTAACATGTCTTTTATCCACCAGCAGATGGTGTAGGCATATATTTGGCTGCAGCTGAAGAAATAGCATTAATCAGTGGAAGTATTACGTTATCCGAATAATTAAATTTATTTGAATAGTCTGTGGAATTTCGTTATCCAAAAGTTGTACAATTATCATCTGTCTATTTACAAAACATGAATTTCCGTTTGTACCCACTACCTTACGTTTCATTCGGTGTACACTTACCACTTCATTAGTTGAAATTATTGCATTTAACAAATATTCTTCAGAGAAAAACGTTGTAGTTACAGGCATTAATTTAGTTGACTTTTTTCACCACTGCCACTAGATCTCCTGTTCAATTATTATATCAACTATTTTTATTTCTTTCACATAAATTATTGTTACAAATAGATATTTTCTTTTTTTGCAGAAGACAATGCAGAAACCTTCAAAAAAATGATCGACAGTGCCTGTGTCTTCCATAACGCAAGCTCAAGATTTGCAGATGGTTTCAGATTTGGTCTAGGAGCAGAGGTGGGTATCAGTACTGCCAGAATTCACGCTAGAGGACCTGTTGGAGTCGAAGGACTCTTGACGACCAAATGGATTCTCGAAGGAGAAGATCACGCTGCTGCAGATTTTGCAGAAGGCGGAAGCCGAACTTGGGTACACGAAACATTGCCTGTAGAGTAAATAATTAATTTTTTATTGTCATACTAGTAACAGGTTTATGTTTGTGCGTGTTCTATGAAGTAACAATTATCAGATATATTGAAATTGGTACTTAAGAAAAAAATACATAATATATTTATAAAATTATTAAAATTTGTTGCTGGTTTTTAGAAATCAATTTTAGATTTTATAGAAAAATTGTAAATATTACAAAAGAAATCTAGGCAATATTTTTAAGGGGACTTTATATTCATTTAATTTTTCAAAACATATTTATACCTTTTAAAATATTGTTAACTATTTATTGACTCCAAAATTTAGTTTCAACATTTATTTATTTATTTATTCGTATCAAAATTATTTAGTTTAAAACATTGTCTATAGAAACAAGATTTTTCTTATGTTTCCAATTTTTATATTTTATTTTTGTTTTACGAGAGCTCTGAGCTTTCTTCTTTTATTACTTAAATGAATATTTTTTTACAGTTGAAGAAATAATATTAACTTAAATATTTTATTTTTTATATTAGGTAATAATGAATTTTATTTTCAGTTTTTGTATATTTGTATATAATTTTAAAAAATAGGATAGTTCTTTTGTATATGATGTGATAATAAATATAATAATTTAAAACAGATAAAGACTCTTTTTTTACCTAATCATCTATTCTTACACAATTAAAAGAGACGCATTAGTTGATATACAGGGTAAATCATTAAGACATTTGCACATTTAGGTGTAGGTAGATGTCACCAAGGTTGTTCTAACTAAGCTATATTTATTGAGTCTCTATTTATTTAGTTATTCTACTGAACATAATTATCTATGTAGAAGACTATTCTGGTACGAGATTCTCAGTAACAGTGGCGGAAGGGCTAAATTAAAATAGGTTTTCAATTTTTTCCAATCAAAAAAATTAGTTATAAGTCTGCGGGAATAGTGGTGTTCTTTCCAGTCTACTGCCAGACCACATCGATGATCGGGATATTATTCGGAATTCGTTTTAAAATAGAGGAATTCCGAAAGAAGTTCTTCTATTAGCCTCTTTTACTGAGAGTTCATTAAAATAATGTAGCCAATGTTTAAAAAAGAGTCGTTTTGTTTAAAAAATAAACTATAATCCGTTTGAATACAAATAAGAGTAATAATTTTCAGAAATACAAAAATCTGAACTATAATTTTATAAATACACATAGATCATCACTATCAATAATCAATAATTTTAAATTTAAATAAAGAAGATGGTGCAATTCTAAAGAGATTTATTAAAGGTATATATTATAATCTTAATCCTCACCAGCCAAAATATCGAACCACTTGGGACCCCGATTGTGATATTTAAATTCTTTATATCCTTTAGAAAATCTAACACTAGAAAGTTTAAGTCACAAACTAGTTACTTCAATGGCATTAATTTCTGCCGATAGAATCAAAGATCTTGTTAGGAAACATTGATAAAAAGGGGGATGAAGACATAGAAATATGTATATGATAAAAATTAATACATCTTTACTGAAACTTCTAGAATTTAAAAACCAAGCAAGTCTATGTGTGTAAATACTACTTGGAAACAACCAATAAACTCAGACCACAAATTTTTAATGTGGAATAGGCATATACCACGGGCCTCTTCTGTCGAGGTGTAGATATAGACGGTATTCGAGCCACTGTGAGCTGGAATGTTTTCATAAAATTTTACAAGCTGTCAAACAACCAAAAATTAATTTGCGAACACATTGGTTTCTAAAAAGTCTATCTAGTTATAAATTGTTCTATTTATTATTATTATTTTTTTGTTATTTTCGAGAATTATTACATTTTTCAGTTATAATGGGTATCTGTCGTATTAAAGTGAGAAATAAAAAATATTAGATTGCGTACTTTTTCTCTTGGTATATCCTACAGGGTGTAATAGTCATGTAGGACAACAGCGAAGACTAACTAACGGATTGATCGACTTACCTGTAAGGATGATCGACTTGAATTATTCGAGCTGTGGTCCGTAATGATTTTGATTTGATATCATTTTAATTTAGGATATTTTTTTTTTAATTTCAACCCATCTTAATCCCCTATTTTTATTATATTCGTTATTTTTGTTTATAGAAAAAAATGTTTGTATAAAAGTTACTTCTTATATTATTCTCTGTAATTTTTGTTTTATCAAAAAATTTCTTAAAATGGTATGTATTCGAGAAATTTTACAAAATGTAAAATTTTACATTTTTAAGAAAATTGTTTAAATAAAACTTGTTTGTGGGGCATTGTCTTTAGCTATTCCCTTTTTAGCATATTTTTTTGAATAAAAGGCTCATAAAACGTAAGAATTTTCTTCTCTGGGGGGAGGGGGATAGCCCCTATGCCCCCCCCCCCCCCTGGAGCCGCCCTTGCTTTATAGAGGGTCATTTTTATATTTTATGAATTATATCTGTTTGTTATATACGTTTGGAGAAGAAAATTATTTAAATAAAATTTACTTATAGTATTATTCTCTATAAGTTTTTTTTACTAATTTTTCCTAAAACGCTCCGTATTCGAGAAATTTTTCAAAATGTAAAAATTCTGATTTTTAAGAAAATTATTGAACTAAAAGATGTTTGAGATATTCTTTATTTTTTTTTACATAATTTCTCTAAAATGGACCGTAATGGAAAAATTGAAGGAAAAGTATAAAATTTAAATTTTTCAGCATTTTCCTTGGCAATGAGTGTATATAGAAAAATGTTTCGAGTTAACCTCTAATTGAATCGGTCATTTTGAAAAGGGGTCACATCCACTTTTTAAAATTTTACAGGAGAGATAAAAAACCTTTAATCTTTAATACTATTTGAAAATAAATTTTTATAAGGTATTGTTTGCTTTAAACATGAACTTTTATGACCATGAATTATTAAAAAATATGATTTGTATTTTAAAAGAGGCTAAAAATTGACATTTTTTGAAAAAGAGATGGCCCGTTTTCAAAATGAACAAGTATTTAAAATCAAAATAGAATATAAATATTGTTTATTTTAAACAACAAAGTGGTATAAAATACATTTTAATACAAAAAATAAGATATTCTTTCATTTTCCTCCGTTTCTTTAGCGGAGGTAGTAGGCCATTCGCAGATAGTGGTGTAAAATTCCTTGTATTTATCTGGAATATATTGCTGAAGCTTCTTTATATCCTGATAGACAGTAAAATTCTGAGGATCGGGCACCATTATTGTCGGAATGCTTCTTTGTAGAGTTTTTAAAAGAAGGAAACGTTCCTCAACAAAACTGCCAATGTATGGTTTCGCAAAGATGACACCCAAATTTTCTGAGTTGAAGCTGAACTCGTAGAAGGAGTTGATAGTAAAATTAACCTTGTCTTCTTTTGAAACTTGTTTGCCAAGACTTCGTGTAGACAACACTTTCTTCTTAAAGAAATCCGGCCACCATTGTTTGAAACTAGCTACATCTACGTGAGTAACATGTTTAACGTCGAATTTATTGCTTATAGATGAAGAAACTCTTACGTCTTCATATTCTCCTACATAGTTTGTTCACATGATTAAAGTGTTCTTTTCCAGTAACTTTTGCGTTTTTTAATCGAAATTTGCTTATAACTGTTTGAATTTTTAACACCTTTCTTCCGTTTGGGAAGCGGAGAGAGTGCCTCACTACTTTCACTACTAGATGGCATTTTGTCACGCGACACGTAAACAGTCTCTAAACACGTCTAAAATATCCATAATACCTAATAAAACGTTGGTGGTGGGGGACAAAGCACGATTCATTTTGAGAAGGGGTTATCTCCTGGAGAGATGTGACCCCTTTTCAAAATGACCGATTCAATTATTTACAGAGATGCTGCAATAGATTTTACAAAATAACCGAAAAAAGCCTGTAATAACTAGATATGAAAGTCATGAACACATCAGATTTTTTTTTTTTTAGATACGATGCTATCATTTAAGTAAAATTCTTACTGCTATATCAGTCTGACATTGTTTATCAGTACCTCTAGCAGTTATAGATATGGTATATTTCTATAACTTCAAATTCATTAGGGACAACCTACAAAATAAAACAATTAATCATATAAAATTATACTACGGTAAAAAATATAATAAAATTGTCATAATTCTGAAATATCTTCTGGTATAGTCTTTCTAGACACAATCCAACACGGCAGAATAACCGATTAGTACCGACTTCAAAGGGACCGCACACATGGGCGTACTAATTTTATTATTAAAATTAGGTAATTTAAATTAATAATTATGTATAGTTCTTTCATTAAACTCGTTCCGAACTCTCACCGAAAATTTTGTTTGATCTGTCACAGGCGTAGATACCTCATTTTAAAAATTTAATATTTTTATAATTACGAGAAAGTATTCGTTAAAAGGCGATCGAATGAATATAAATTGGACGGCGTTATACCCGTTATTTAGATAGATGCACTTAATTGTAGTCCTACTTGAAACTTAAAAAACTCATTATAATAGCTCGTTAATTTGCTATAACTGAATATTTAATTATAAAACGTAAATAGACGAGTAAAATGTACCTGCCTGTAAGGGCGTTCAAACAGGGTACCAGACGTGAACTGATCCCTTTTTGTACCCCATTCGTTCTTTTTTCCGAAAAACGAAATTTCAAAGCAAAAACCATAAAGGAAAATAAATTCTTTGCAAATAAAACAAAACTATAAAATAATTTAGAAAAATGAATTTTTTAAAAGAAATAAATGAATACGAACTAATAAAATGTTAACAATGAATTAATTTGATTACTCTCGGATTACCAATAATAAAAAATAAGAAAGTTAATTCGAATCTAAATCTGAACCATCTGTCGAGGAATCGAGGTTTGGATATTTAACTACTGGAGCTATAGAAAGTAAAATATGATATTCTTTTTCCTTTTTAGGACGTGACTAATGCAAATTTTCCAAACGTCAGTCAACGACGGATCTTTAAAAACGCCATTAATATTTTCGTATTGTGATTAATTTTAAGGTAATAATTTTATATTTGAAGATTGACGGA